GCTTAGAGATATGCCTAAGTTTGCAACAGTTAGTGAATGCAAGATCCGTTTTGATGCCTTCACACAGTCCTTAAGAATGCTAATTAATTTTAGCTCGCAAGTTTCCCAGAAAACCACTTTGTTGTATCGTTTTTGGTTTATACCTTTTTCATGACAACGTTGTTAGTTTTGAAACGCCGATCGTTTATCAATTTCCTCTGCAACTTCCTACTGATTTATTATCAGTTATTATTCAAGCCTAGTACGTGATTTCAAAATCAAAGCTTTCATAAAATCGTGATTTTCACACTTATGAAATAGTTCTAGAAATCTTGCCGCTAGGAAGTTGTCTTTATTGTGGGCGCCACGTTTCTCACAACGCCCTAGTTTTTTCACCGGCAGCATAGGCAGTATAAGACGACGCGCAACTTCTTTTAGTCAGAGATTGTTAGTGAAGTTACACCGCTGCCGTGCTACGATCAGAGGATCCAAGTTACCGCTATTTCAAGTGTATTTCGCTGTCTCTCTGCTACCTTTTGGTGCGAGTCGTCAACCAAAGTACGTAAGTTCTTATTGTTGTAGATATTTGCTAAGTCGCGAACTGTTAGTCTTTTCTTTGTAACGAAAAGGTTTTATTTAGGTTATCTAGGTTTTGTTGAGATCACTTTCACAGTTCTACCATTGCAAAGGCTTATTGTCATGTGATTACCAAATTGTAATTCTTTCACGCTATATTTAGCTATTTTGCGCGATAGCTGTTGATATCGTCGTTTGCTACGACAAGAGTTATCGTCTCAGTTTTATTAGTTTCAAGTATCAATTGTCACGTCTATTTGTTTCACGCTGTGATCTTGTTAGTTCTATTACGATTTTTCTATCCTGTTAGATTTGTATTTTATGCCTTATCTAAGTAGGGCGTATTCTTAACTATCGCTTTTCAGTTGGAACCTACTACTACTACTACTACTACATCTACTTATACGACTACTACTCCTATTCGTATCTGCTACCACTAGCGATCTACTGGTTTTCGCTATTTCGTCAGTCGCTACCTATTGTGAACTAGATCTATGGACTTGATCTGTTATTAAATCAGTTTGAATCTACCAAGTGGAGTTCGAATATCTCGCACCGCGCTACCCCTGTAGTTGTTTAAGATTTGAGTAAAGGCAACCCCTAGAATCTTTACAATTACAAAGGTTTCTTCAATTAGGTGTACACAGAGGAGTAAGCTCAGTGTCGTCTGTTCACTATCGATTAAGCTTAACAGGATAATATTTGTATGCTATCTCTAAGGGAAGTCATTGGTTTTATGAAATTCTTTATGAAGTTAGAGCTATTAACGTCGCCGTCCTATATGAAAATTACACAACTTTAAGCATTTTGTCTCTGACAACACGCAAAAGCTTTTCGCGTCCCACTGCCGTTCCCGTCTTGGCCTTCCCGTCCTTGCATCGTATAAAGGTCCCTAATGTTGCTAACAATGATACAGAGGACATTAATGTCAAGCACTCAAATTTTAAAACAATACTTCGCAATAAGACCAAAACTCCGCAACTCTTTTTTTGCACTCTTGTGGTTATTCGCTATCCAATAACCACATGTCCTCTTAGAGGGCTCTTGTTTAATGTTACGTATGTAAGTAGTTTATCGATCTTCTCCCGTAACTGTTGTTATAAGCTTAATTGTTTTTTTCTTCTGTCAATGACCAACCGATATTTAGTGGCCGTGGCCAACTTCACTAATTCCCTGAGGATGGTGGCTTAATGGAAGTTTGCCTGTTATATGTTCAAACCTCATTATTTAAAATTTATTAGCTAGTTTTAAAAGTTATAAAAGTAGAAGCCCCCGCAAGAGAGGACACCGCAATCCTTTCTGGAGACAATAACAGCTAGAAGAAAATGGAAGCATCCCACTGTTACTTTGCATGAGAATTAACTTCTTTGATCAATACAAAGTGAAATAAAGATAGATTGAGAGGAATAAAATGAAGAACTAATACAAATACTGGTTATTCATGTTTTTTTTTTGTTTGTTTTTTGTTTTGTTTTGTTTTGTTTTGTTTTTTTTACATTCTACTATTATACCCTTTGAGGCCTTATGTGCCACGAGGCACAAAGAAGCTAAGTAGTAGTAGTAGTATTATACCTTTGGGAGGTGCAGTGCCTCATGGTTAGTGCTCGTCTCCGGATCGAGCGGTCTGGGTACGAGCCCTGGCCGGGGATATTGTGTTGTGTACTTGGGCAAGACACTTTACTCTCACAGTGCCTCTCTCTACCCAGGTGTATAAATGGGTACCGGCGAACTTAATGCTGGGGGCAACCCTGCGATGGATTAGCATCCCATCCAGGGGGGAGTAGAAATACTCCTAGTCGCTTCATGCTACGGAAACCGGGTAAGCTCCGGCCTGATGGGCCACTGGGCTCGTACACAGACTTTACCATTATACCTTTCCTGACATCCTAAAAAAGTGTTAAATTCCAGGATGGTGTCTTCAAGATGGCGTATGTATCACCTTGCAGAGCAGGTTGGGGGCCAGTAAAACCCGCAAATAAGAACCTAGTGATTTAAGAGCCTACAGGCTGAAATTTGGCATTTAAATACTCAGAAATATAAGAACCTGTTCAGCATGGCCAAGAAAAGTAGCTTCTTGTACAAAAAAGCAATCACTCCAATACTGATGGTCTAAATTCTGGATTTTCATTTAGTGTGAAACTTCTGACAAAAAGTTATTCTGCATCTGTTTTCTTTGATTTACATTCTTTTGGATTTTTACTAGAAATATTTTTTTTCATAAAGCTACAGTGCAATACAGACAATTTAAAATCTATATGTCTTATGAAATGAAATATAGAGATGTATTGGTGTTCCTCTGAAAAGTGAGAGCCTATTAAGAACCTAATCAGGCTTAATTGTGAAAAGCTGCCCTAAAAGATAACAACCTGTTCAGCGTGACCTGGAAAATTCTAGGTTCTTGGGTCGGGAATAACATATCAAGTAATCTTGATATGTCTAGAACGAAAACTCAAAACCCGAACGCCCTATTTTATTCTATTAAAAGTATAAATTTTCTTGTGCTGCTGAGAAACGTATATACAAAATGCCAACTTCTCATCATGTCGAAAAATCTTACACTCAAATCAGCATGTAAGTTACACGGCAGTAGTTTCGAGTTCCGTTCCTTTGTCAGTGGCAACGTCATAACAGGGTGCGTAACTATAGTTTGCGTCTGCCATATCCAAATAAGGACAATGCTTTAACATCATCCGTTCAAGTTGCTTCCGGATGACAGTAAATGAAGGCCGTTCAGTCGGGTTTTCTTTCCAACACTGTCGCATCAGTTCATACCTGGGAGAATGAGTGGTAAGTGTCAGTTATCACTTCATGAATATAACGGAGCGAGATAAAAAGAAAGCTTACATCTCATCGGAGCACATCTGTGGTTTGTCCATTCTGTATCCAGATTTAAGAGTCCCCAGAAGTTCATGATTATTTATGGTAGGATATGGAGTCCCGCCTAGAAACAAAGAAGAAGGGGAAAATAGATGTAATACTCTATTAACTTATCTATGGGAAGCCAAAAGGATATATCTTCCAAACTGGCAAGGCGAAAGTGGAAATGCTACTCACCGATTGTTAAAATCTCCCAAAGTAGAATACCATTCGACCACCTGTTGATATGAATGACATCATGACACTATAAGATTTATGGTTA